AGGGTAAAAATATTTTAAATAAATCATAATTATTTGTTGTTTTTTTCATGCTTCTTGCTCATTTTCAGAACTGAGTGGGGATGGTCCCTAGTTAGTCCTGGGGGAATGGAGACTAGCTCCCAGATGATGATGATGATGATGATCATCACCATCATATAAATTTTTCTTGAACTTGTTATGTTTTATGTTGTAATCTTTTATGAGACTAGATAGGCTGGGTATAAATACAATAAATAATAATAATAACAATCTTGTAATCTTAGACCTGCAGAGCTGGAAGAGACCAGTCCAGCCCCTGTCCATGAGGCACCGAGGGGGAATTGAACTCCCACCCTCTGGCCTTGCAGCCAGAAGCCCAGATGCTCTGAAGCCCCCCCACCCCACCCCTTCTATGCCATGCAGTCTATCTTGATGATGAACAGCAGAGAGTAGATAAATCTGAGGAGTGGTCACAAAAGCCACTCCCTACATAACCTGGTCTCTGTCTCTCTCTGGTGACCAGCTCTGGTAACCTCACATTTAGAACTTGATATTTCTAGGATTTTATTTTTTAATATTTTCAGACCATGGATAAATGAACTAGTGGATACTGATCCCATTGATAGGGGGGGGCCTACTGTGTTCCAAAATCCCTCAAGCTGGGTGATGCTGAAATCTTGCCACTTGTGAACAAGCAGGGCATGGGGATGCCACAGGGCTGGGCACTTGGATTAGGGATGGGCAAAGCTGAGGGTCCGGCTGTGATGGACACGGGCTGCATCTCCCTCCTTTGTATATTTGGTTCCGAAACCAAACATTCCCTGCTGAATCTGTGCATGTGGGAGAGAGGAGGGGAGATTAACCTTCCCACCGACTCTTCTTCTCCTACAGCAGAGACCTTGCAGAGGCTGAAAATGGTCCTCATCCAAGGCTGCGGGGAAGAACTTGGGACCACGAAGAGGGACCAGTGGCCGCCTCCCTCCCACCCACTCCCTTCCTCTCCCTACCTGGATCCGGGCCCTTAAGATAGATTTGAAAGCCCAAGGGCAAGCCAGGCTGGGTGAGATCTCAGCAGGCTCTCCAGGGAGCGGAACCGCCTCGCCGTCTGAGCTGGCCACCTTGCCCGCCCTCGCTTTCTGTAGCCACAAAGAGCCAAAGTAGGGAGGTGGCAGTCGGGCAAGCTGTGAAGAGTCTCCCCGTTCGCGTGTTTCGTCCTGGCTGCCGAAGCCAGTTTTTCCAGCTGCACGCGCCTTAGGCAAGCGCACAGAGGCGCCTTCACAGCTTGGGAATTGGCATTTGAGACTGGAAGGTGTAAATACCAGCCTGCACCTCCCACACTGTTCTTCCCAGGGTGCTAGCTTTTAGTCTGTGGCCTCACTGCAATTAAAACAAAGCAAACCCATCTCAAAACAAACCTCCGCAGAGCTTTGTTGCACCTTAACAAGCGACGAGATTGCTCAGCGCACGCTTTCATAGGGGTAGACCACTTCTCAGACTCCCGCAAGGTGTCTTGTTTAAGCCTCAGGAGGCTGGGCTCTATTTCCGGGCCGCCACGTTGCACTCTTGTGTGGCTCCTTCGCACTCTTGAGGTGCTTGGTGGCAGGAACGCCAGTGTCCCCCCCCTTCACCCCGATCTTGTGCGAAGAGGTTTCCAGGATCTCCCTGGGGAAGCTCAACACCCCACTGCTTCTTCCTCCACGTTTGTGTCCAGAGAGGAAAGGAGGAGGTAGCTGCGCTGTGGTCCATTCATGAAGAACAGGGCACCAGGGTTGATGTGCAAAAAGAACAACCCCCTGGCTTTCTCCAGGGGAGAAGCTGTAACCCCAGCAGAGCACACCCTCTCTGGCACCCACGGGCACTGCTTGACCCAAGAGATGTATCCCACACAGCCGAGGAAGAAAGCTAAATGAAAGACATTCCTGGAGAGGGGTCTGATCTTTCCACAGTGACATGGCCCTTAATGGCCTCCTGCTCAGGTCACTGTAATGCGCTCTACGTGGGGCAGCCTTTCAAGGCAGTTTGGAAACTTCTGCGGGTGCAAAAGGGAGCCGGCAGGCTGCTGACTGGGGCCAGTTATAGGGAGCAGAGAACGCCCCCGCATTTCTGGGTCCGATTCAAAGTGCTGACCGTCCCCTATAAAGCCCTCTCTGGCTTGGGTCCAGGCTCCCTAAAGGATAGCATCACCCCATATGAGCCTTCTGGGCGTTTAAAATCATCAGAGGTCCCAGGCATGGCTGATGGGGTCACAAGAGGCAGGGCCTTCTCGGTGGCCGCTCCCAGGTAATGGGAGGCTCTCCCTCCCGAGATCAGGCTGGCCCCCCCTCCCTTCTATCCTTCCACTGACTGCTGAGGACCCCTCTTTTCAGGCTGGCTTTTAACAATCACAACTACATCCCTGGATGCCTTTTTAAAAGTTAAGATAGTTTTTAAGGTTTCCTTGCTTTTGATTATTCAATTGTATTTTAATTAGCCTATCGTTTAATAAGGTTTTTTTTAAATGTTTAACTTACTATGTTTTTAACTCTATTCTTTTTAATATTGTGAGACAATTAAAGACACAGAAGTACCGCAGTGTGTTTATTGATACCAACAGAACTGCGCCCAGTCTCAGAGTGACACTCAGAGCATCTGGAATCCTGCTGGTGATTTACGGAGGTGTAACTGAGGTGCCAGTCTCCTTACAGAGGTGTGGGCCAGTTGTGCAATCCGAGGTACCCATCAATCACCAACAGGACTGGGGGGCCCCAACCCCCTGCAGAGCTGCCCAAAGGACCGAGGGTGGTCCAGCCCTCCAAACAGGTTTCTGAGAGGCTAAGAAGGGGGAGCCATGGCAGAGAGGAGCAGAGACGAGACCCAATCCTGCACGGCACGAGTAGAAATCATCGCTCTCCAGTGAGTGACACTCAGAGCATCTGGAATCCTGCTGGTGATTTACGGAGGTGTAACTGAGGTGCCAGTCTCCTTACAGAGGTGTGGGCCAGTTGTGCAATCCGGCACACAGTTCAGAGCGTGGCCAGGGCTTCCTTAGTTCATGGCCGCTTGCCGTAATGAGTACGTAGATACCTAGCAATCACCAGCAGGATTGGGGCCCCGCGCTCCTTGCAGAGCTGCCCAAAGGACCGAGGGTGGTCCAGCCCTCCAAACAGGTTTCTGAGAGGTTAAGAAGGGGAAGCCGTGGCAGAGAGGAGCTGAGACGAGACCCAATCCTGCATGGCACGAGCAGAAATCATCGCCCTCCAGCGGCCGTCCTGTTTCTCCTCTTTTCTCTCTCCGGAGCATCCTTCCCTTTTTTTTTTCTCCTTCTGCATTCACTCTGACACGAGGGAGATGGGACAGTCACAACCTGGCAAACTATGTGCAGCCGACATTCCCAAGAACCAAATGAAGGTTTTTCACGTTGCCGACAGCGTCCCTTTTAAGGATACAGAACCGAAGAGCGTGCTTAGAACCGGCGGAGGCTGGAAAGCCCCAAAAAGTCTGGTCTCCGAGTTCTGATCAAGACCTCGTGGACTGACCGATGGACAGATAGACAAACCTTGCCTCGGAGGTCCGTCAGCCCCCTACTCCTCTCCCTAGGACTTCAAGTCTGCCCAGAGAAAGGGTCTGAGTCTGGTGACCTCCAGCTACGGGGAAATACTTGTAGTCCGACGCTTGCTTCTAACGGTGCTGGGAGGGGTCACTTCAGGACGATGAGAGGAAGCAGCTCCCCACACCGAGAACCGAGCTTCAGAGCCGCAAAGGGGTCGGCTCTCGTGGGGCCGATGTTCACGATAGCTATCGGCTGCTTCCGGTCGCGGGCCGCCAGAGCAAACTTGTACGCTGAGTAGACCTGGGAGGGGACAAGGAGGGATCTGTCAAGCTGTGGATTCCACAGAAGGAGAAAGCCACGGGCGACAAACAGCATTGCAAAGAAGCTCTATTTCAAAAGTCAGGCAATGAGCGGGAACAAAGGAAGTGAGTAAAGTTTTCTAGTTAAATTTTAAGGCTTACACTTTAAAGGGGCTTCCTGGCATTCTTCAGAGAGGTTTCTTCCACGTTCAGCACAGATTGTTAGGGCTTTTTTTTGGCCACCACTTTGCCCCTTTGAGTGCAACAGGAAAATGTCCAGCTATCCAAATTGCAAATCTGCTGGACCATCAGCATCCTTCAGGGTCTGTGAACCACAGGCCGTAAATTCCACCATAGCCCCCCACCCCATATCAATAACCCTAACTTCCTACTGTGGTTTGAAGGTTGGAAATAATACGATAGATTTACTGTGTTAACATTAAAATCATTATTTTAGATTTAATCATGAGGAGTGCGCCTATGATATGTTATAGATAAGACTTGGAAGCGATGATGAAACATTTTAAAGGAACTTTAATAGATTTAAATGTGAGTTCCAAACAGTTACTGCTTAGAGGCATTAACTTGTTTGTCCCTCTGATAATACAAACAACAATCTTAACATTAACCTGTCCAATCGAACGCGTTATTTCCATGTTCTCCCTGTATCCATATTAGTGCCTAAAGCAATACAAACAGTAAAAAGGTATATCTGAAATTATTTGAGCAGTAACGACAGCAAAGGTCTAACCGGCCAGCTACAATCCGTTAAGACCGACTGCTCAATAAATCAGGATTTTTTTTTTTGGACCAGAAGTTCATCTTAGCCATACGTGCTAGGAAACCGCATGTACCTGTAACGAAGAACCCACCACGAGCACGGAATCCGATTCCGCCAGGCGCTCGTACACAAAGTCCACCTTCTGCTTGCTCACGGTGTCTCCAAAGAAGGTCACGTCAGGCTTGAGGGCCCCACCGCATTTCCCACATGGGGGGACGTGGAACCTCAGCACCTCCTCGTCCGTCAGAAAGACGTCCCCGTCTGGGGCCACTCCGAGGGCCTCGGCTCTCCATGTCGGGTTGAGGGCCTGGAAACGCTCCTGGAGGGTGTGGCGGGGTGTCCGGTCTCCGCAGCCGAGGCATAAGACCCTGTGGAAGGACACGTTTAGGAACCCCTTGCCTCCATGTTGAGGAACCCACTGGTTTCCTTTCCTAGCATCTCAAATGCTTCCACATCTTCTCCACGCCCTCTGGGACCCCTCCCCAGCCATGTTTCCCTCTACTGACAATGGCGAACTCCAAGTGATCTTCTGAGGTAACATGGTGAAGGCCACCCTCTATCCCTGGACGTTTGGTCTTTATGAATGCATCAAAACCAAGGAGTAATTCATAAACGCTGTGTTAAATCTACACACTGTGTGGCCAGTTTTACATGATGCACAGCTGCGTCATAGTAAGGCCTGTCTTAGAAGAAGTATATTCCTCCGAGTAAGAAAAGTAACCCACTGGTTTCCTTTCCTAGCATCTTGAATGCTTCCACATCTTCTCTATGCCCTCTCCAGCCATGTTTCCCTCTACTGACAATGGCGAACTCCAAGTGATCTTCTGAGGTAACATGGTGAAGGCCACCCTCTATCCCTGGACGTTTGGTCTTTATGAATGCATCAAAACCAAGGAGTAATTCATAAACGCTGTGTTAAATCTACACACTGTGTGGCCAGTTTTACATGATGCACAGCTGCGTCATAGTAAGGGCTGTCTTAGAAGACGTATATTCCTCCGAGTGAGAAAAGTAAGGGGGGACTTCTGTATTGCTGTGCCCCCCCTCTGGCTATCAATAAGCCAATCAACAAGTTTAATTCCAACTTAGGGTGGCCCTGTCCGGGATTTTTATAGAATCCTAGAATAACAGAGTTGGAAGGGGCCTATGAGATCATCAAGCCCAACCCATACTCAACGCAGGAATACACACACATCAAAGGATATCTGCCAGGTGGTGGTCTAAGTTTCTCTTGAAGGCCTCCAGCGTTGGAGCGCTCACCACCACCTGATGCGGTCATGGGGTTCCTAAGGAGAGAATCCTCAGAATTGGTTTCTCCTTCCCTTCTCCCAGCTTGCCCAAGGCTACACAGGCTGGCTCTACTCACTGGAGGCCCAACGGAGAACTGAATTCCAGAACTCAGGTTCTGCAACCAGGTCCCTAACTCACTGCTTTAATTAGCCATCTCCCTCTGCATGGAAATAATAATTCTAATGATAGACACATATTCCTTTACTCTCTGTCCAGCAGACACCACTCATCAATGCAAATAATTTTGAAGGATCAGCACGCCAGCCGTCTCGACTCTCCCTGCCTCCCTCCCTGGCCTGCCCAACCTGTGCGTGCAGCCATGCAGTTCGGTCAGGCGCTGGTTCCCGGCCTTGGCGTGGAGGGCGTCCACGTTCTGAGTCACCAGCCAGTGGATCTTGCCCAACTCTTCCCAGCGCTGGAGAGTCCAATGCGCCACGTTGGGCTGGTGGGAAGAAAACTGGGCCCATCCCACAAAATTCCTGGCCCAGTACTTCTGGCGGGCCCTGGCGCTCCGAAGAAACTCCACGTGCTGGACCGGCCGCCGGTCTGTGCGGGCGTAAAGGCCCACACGTTCCGAGCGATAGTCCGGGATCCCCGACTCCGTGGATATTCCTGCTCCGGTGAGGACAAAGAGCCTCCGGGATCTGGACACAAACTCCTGCAGCTTCTGGACTTCCGTGGGATCTGGAGGCTGGCAGGCCGGCACGAAGGCCAGGGTCAGAGGAGACGTGGCGACGGAATGGGAGGAGCAGCAGCCGCGATGCCCAAGGATGGTGGGACAGCCTCGGCAGGCCTTCAGCGCCGAAGCGACACGCATCTAGGTTGGGACAGGGAGAGGACAGGGGAGAGCAGTCATCCCAGAATCTTGTCCTTTGGCATTTTCTTGGTTTGTTCTATGGCTGCCCTCTTAAGTCACCCATCCCCACAACACCCCTGCAGTGTAGATCAGGCTCACAGACTGCGACTGGCCCAAGGTCAAGCTGCGATCTGTTTGGTCCACTGGGAATTCGAACTCAGAACCTAGCTTACCGAGACTGAAGTATGGATTTGGGGCCTTCAGGCACGCTTCCCCCCCTCGAATGGCTGCCCGAGTAGGATTTTTCGATGGGTTGTTGTGCTTTCCTGCTTTTAATGTCTTTTTAGTATTGCTTTTGTTTAACCATTTCTCAGAGTGGCATTTGTTTGCTCCTTTTTAACATTTGTATACTCATTTTTCTTAGCTTTAAATATTGTCTTTCAATGATGCAAGCCAGATTGGGTATTTCTTAAGGAGAAAGGTGGGGTAAAAATGTTTTAAATAAATAAATGCATTGTTTGTGGAATGAATTTTGGAATTTTTAAGGCAATGCACGTATCTAGTCATGGCGAAGGTGGATCCATTAAACCAATGGCCGAAATTCTATTATTTACACCAGCTGGTGTGAAACAATTGGTGTAAACCTCATTGGCAGATCCCCGTAAAATGTTAGCGTAGGCGGTTGCTGTTGCGTGCTGGATTTGTCCGACTTGGCACAAGACAGGAGATGGTTTCTGCTAACTTCTTAACATGCAGTAATTCACCCACAAGATTTACACCAACTGAGCTACACTAGTGTAAGAGCTCAACAGATTTTTGGCTTTTGGGATTTACCTAAGGGTTGGCTTACCACTCAGCAAGAAATTCATGTCGTAATTCACCCACAAGATTTACACCAACTGAACTACACTGGTGTAAGAGCTCAACAGATTTTTGGCCTTTGAGATTTACCTAAGGGTTGGCTTACCATTCAGCAAGAAATTCAAGTCGCTTTAGACTAGCAACAAGATTTAGCCCCTTGCTCCATGCAATTCATTCATTAGCAGCCATAAAGAAATGTTGTTCTTATGCGCCGTCAAGTCTTCATTCATTAGCAGCCATAAAGAAATGTTATTATGCGCCGTCAAGTTGGAACCGAATTATAGCAACCCTAATAAGGCTTTCAAGGTAAGGGAGATCTATAGGGAGTGTCTTTACAGGTTCCATAACCTGTGAGTTCCCATGGCTGAGCAGGGTTTTGAACCCAGTTCTGCAGAATCCTAGCCCATCACTCGACCCACTACACCTCACTGGACATCTAATTAAGGGATAACCACAGAATACTGAGATCCTCATGTGGTGCAGTGGACGGAAGCACAGACTAGGTCTCCGGAGAACAGGGTTTGAATCCCCTCTCAGCTATGGGAACTCAGTGGGGGGTGTGTGGAACGGGTAAAACCACTCCTTAAATGCCTTCACTGACCTTAAAAGCCCTATTATGGTCACTTTTGGTCAGTTCCAACATGAATCTGACCCAACTCCGGGAGGCCATGGAAGGCAGGAGGGCCTGGCGTGCTCTGGTCCATGGGGTCACGAAGAGTCGGACACGACTTAGCAACTAAACAACAACGAAAGTCAGTTCCGACTTGACAGCACAGAACACACAGACACCCAAGTAGAAGAAGCATCAACACGGTCTCAACCCTCAGAAACACCCTTAATTAAGCAAGACTGGTGTCTGAGCCTTGGCGGCTGCCTGATGAACTACTTTTATTTATTTTATTTTATTTTATTTTATTTATATCCCGCCTGTCTGGTCTTGTGATTAAGGCGATTAACCAAGGAATGACACAGGCGGGCTCCTCCTATGTGTCAGTTGAATTGCAAACAGGATGTCAGTGGCAGCGGTTAAACCATACTAGGTAACAATCCAAAAACAATTTCAAAGTTACAATCTGACAAGCCGCCTCTAAACTCCAAACTATCAGTCGTGATGCAATTTCAAAGTTACAATCTGACAAGCCGCTTCTAAACTCCAAACAGTCGTGATAGTTTCCTTTCCTTTCTACAAACAGACAAACAAACAGACGACCGGCTCCTCCCTCCAGCCCCTTTTGCTTCGTTTCTTAAAAGGCTGGGACCTCGGAACTCCTGCGGCGGCCCTCAACGAGGTTTCCAGTTTAACCAGTACAACCAGCCCTTGCGTAAAAGTCGTGCAGAAGTGTTTTTTTTCCCCCCGTGCGTAAAGGCGCACAGAAACCAGAGGGTCCTGTTCCATCCACAATATCATCGCCTCCCCCTAGACTGGCTTTGCAGCTCTTGACCCCATAGCTAAGAGGAAGGCGCCTCTCCTCCAAATCCTGACCCATTCACACGTTCAAGGGAATTTCCCGCGACCGAATGCCGACACTCTCACCTCTCTCTCTCTCTCTCTCTCTCTTTTTTGCAAGCCCGCAAAAGCGCACGGATGGCGCAACCGACCTCCAGGCGCGCGCCTGCCCGCGCGCACCCCGGGGAGTGGCTGATGGGAAATGGAGTTCCCCCTCTCCGCGGGAACCGGGCTCTTAAGTGTAAAAACTACAACTCCCATAATCCACTTGGTGAAAAGTTGCAGAGCGCCCCCGCTAGGCTGGCTTGGCCTTATCCATTTCTTGCTCTCGCTCTTCTCTGGCGTTCCTAAATCGGGACGTGTTTTTTTTTTTTTTTTGCAAGTCCCGCTGCGGAGAAGAAGCGCTTTGTGAGCTCAGCAGGCCGGCCACGTCAGCGAGTTCGGTAGAACCCGTGCCTCGGCTGCAGCCCATTTGCTTCGAGACCAGAAAAAGTTACTTTTCCGGGACTACACAAGTCCCAGAGGGCACCAGCGAGCTAGAAACACCACAGTCTTGGGGAAGCATAAACAAAGCAAGGCAGCTAAAAAAAAAAAAAGAAAAGAAAAAAAAGGGGGGAGTCACAGAACGACGTGCAGCCCTTGTGCAACACCTCCCCCGCAAAAGAAGAAAGAAAATCAAATAAATAAATACATTAAATACTTTTAAGGGACCACGAAGACCTCGACAAAGCCGCCAGGCTGGCAGGAGCAGAAGGCTGTTCTGTTTTGGGGATATTTTCCTGGCCTCGTCAAAGTACCATCCCTTCCTTTGGGATTTTTTAATTTTTTTTTTTTTTGCTTTGCTTAAAATTTAATCTTAATTTTAGAACTGCTCCCATCTTGCAGCACCTCAAAGCTTCTTTGGGATTTGGTGCCTCCTGTCCCACTTGGCTGGTTTTCTTGCCCTAGGCTGCAGAGCCACCGCTGTACCCCACCCTGCAAGCAGCCCCCCCCCAGCTAACTTTCCCTGTCTCTTTGCCAGGACAGGAAATTTGCAGCTGCCAGACCCCCGTTCCCATTAGCTCCAGCTGGCTTAACTGTTTGGGGATGATGGAAACTGTAGTCAGCAGTCCCTGGAGGATGAGGGGGATTACCAACCCCTGTTCTGAAGTGGGGGGGGGACTGGGAGAGAACAAGCCACAGTTAAGCCTCTGAATTCACATGAGTTGGACATCAGAGCAATCCAGTGACCGCCCAAGATTTTTTGCTGTCCGAAAGACTGCCCTGGCAATCAATGTGATGCCCACTGATGGTTGCACAGAAAAACCTAAAGACCGCAACATTATTTTGGCACACGGCGTGGAATATCCCATAAGCCCCACGGCATCCTGCAGCATCATAAATGTATTCAGAATAAATTAAGTAGTTCATAAATTGCTGCCCTGCTAGAACCGCTGCTTTGGAGCTTCACTGCAGCGTGTTTCAACTTGCATTTTTAATAAGATATTAGCAGCTTAGCTGTGGTTCTTTCCACGTCCCCTACGGATTCCTGGAAATAAGCCACTTGAAAATGGCAAAAGGGCTCGTCGGTGTGTGTGTGTGTGAGACCTTTATGAGGCCAAAGGACAAGGCAGGGAAATCGTGCAAGCTTTTGAGAGCCACCTTACCCCCCCAGCCTACCCCCCATATTCAGCCTCTGCCCTAACCCTTAACTCAAAAATGTAAGGCCTGACCCTTAGAGATCTCATGACAGCCAATATATTTTTAAGCCTCAACCTTTCATACAAAGGGCTTTAAGGGGGAAGAATTATCCTTCCGTGAGAATTCTGAATATATTGATGGTTCATAAGAGATGAGCACTAACCAGCAAAACGGCGGTTCATCTTGGTTCATCAAAGTCCACAAATTTCCAAACGTTTACCGAACGAACCACGAATCGGTTGGTTTGTCGGCCCCAGATTCCAGATCAGCGATGCCCGAGCATGTCCCGAGTCGGGGGCCACAGAGAAAGAAGCAGAGGGTAAACCAAGGTGCCTTTCCTGGTCGGAGGTTGGGCAGCCCCCTTTGGCCCTGAGTGTGCCATCTGAGGAGACCCCAGAAAGATGGATTGCTTTCTGGAGAGGTATAGCCAAGGTCTATTGTGAGCTGAAGTAAAGCAGCGGCCTCAGGCAGCAGAGTTCTGGAGACGGCAGCATATTCACCACCACTGCCACAGGCACCACCAGGGAGTCTTGCTATTGGGGGGGGGGGAAGAGAGAGAGAGAGAGAGAGAGAGGCTTCCGTTTCAGCCCCAGGAGTTGCAGGCCTGCTTGCACTGTCCATAGCTGGAGGTCTGGATTTAGGCCTCCGGAGTCAAAGTTACTTTCCCTAAAGGAATCCACCACAGAACACACAGCTGGCCTGATGTCTTAACGCTTTGAGCTTAAACATGGCTTCTTCTTCTTCCTCCTTTTTTTTGGGGGGGGGGAGCAGCACCGTCGTATAAAGTTGCAGGAGGAAAAGGGGCTGATTTGCCGTTTGGAAATGTCATTTCTGAACAAACATTTCTTGTGGGATTGCACGTCGTGTCTCCACGCTCCAGGAACAGCCAAGCTGGCTCCATCCATAATCAAATCATGACATCTCACCAGTGTGTGTGTGTGTGTGTGTGTGAGAGAGGCGTTTCCGTCTGGCTCTCCACAGTCTTGCACTGCAACTTTGCTCCTGTTTGTCGCCGCGCCGAAGTGCTTCACACAGCAAGCAAGTC